TTTGCCTGAAGTAATTGGACATCTTAAAGACCATTACAATGCTTCAGAGCCTGTTCTTCTCCATTGGTTGTTCCCTGGCAAGGATTACTGAATGGGCTCAGAGTTTTGGTAGATGACAAGGCTTGTTTGGACATGTCTGAATGTGTTACTGATGGAGGGGTTGCAGATATATTTGTTGAGATTATTGAAGTGGAAGCTGATGGCATGGAGACTGAGGAGGAAGAGGATGGGGAGGACCAATGTAGTGACTGGGAGGAAGATGCTCAAATGGAGAGTGAAAAGGCAGATAGTGAAAGCACTGGGATGGAAACACCTCATGAAGACAATGTGGTGGTTGAGGATTTAGCTATAATGAACATGTCATCACTAGAACAAGTGAAGAAGGACTTAGCAGGTGCTACTAAGTATTTGCATTGGGTTAGAGAGAAAGAGGCTCCTGTACAGAAGTTAGTTATGCAAGAAGAAGTGTCTATTCATGAAGAGGCTCCTATACAGAAGGAACACAATTCAGATATGGATGATTCCAGTGACCAGGATTACTTGCCTGGTGATGATGAGAGCAGTGGAGAGGATGAGGAGGTAATCTAGATTAGAGCGGAGCTAAAGGATTTAAAGAAGAAATTAAAAGCTGGAGGCATGTTGGTGGTTGATGAGGAAAGGCATGAAGTCAATGTGGAATGTGCTAATGAAGAGGATGGCTGTGATTCCCATGCTATGGATACTGATGAAGAGGATGATTCATATGATGAAACATCTGATGGAGAGTTGGTTAGGAAGGAGAAGAAATTTCCCAAGTTTGATGCCAATGCTCCAGTGCTAGTATTCACTATTGGGATGGCTTTTAGTGATAAGTCAGCATTTAGGGAGGCTATCATCAAGAATGGGCTGGCAGAAAGGAAGGTGATTAAGCTTGTGAAGAATGAGAGCACAAAGTGTAGAGCAGTTTGTTCATGGCCAAAGTGCACTTGGGTTTTGCATCTATCAAAGACATCAAGGGCAAGTAGTTGGCTTATAGCCACATGTAAAGATGTGCACACATGCCCACCAAGGAGAGACAACTCTTTAGTGACATCAAGAAGAATAGCAGATAAATATGAGAAAGTTGATATTGGCTAACCCACAGTGGTCAGTTGAGAGTATGAGAGAAATAATTCAGGAGAAAATATTTGCATATTTAGTATTTCAAAGATTAAGAGAGCCAAATTAATTGTGATGCAAAGGATGTATGATGCAACCAAGGGGGAGTATGCTCTGGTGTTTGACTACCAGCTTGAACTGCTGAGAAGCAATCCTGGGAGTACAATAGTAGTGAAGCTTGACACTGAAGAACTTGAACCCATGTTCATGAGGTTTTATGTCTACTTTGATGCATGCAAGAAGGGGTTCCTTGCTAGTTGCAGGAAGGTTATTAGACTGGATAGTTGTTTTTAAGGGATTAACCAATGGAGAACTGCTTTGTGCACTAGGTAGAGATGCCAACAATCAAATGTACCCAATAGCTTGGGCAGTTGTAGAGAGGGAGACCAAGGAGTCCTAGGACTTTTTCTTATCTTTGCTGAGCACTGGCCTGCAGTTTGGTGATGGTGATGGCTGGGTATTCATTTCTGACCAACAGAAGGGGCTCATCAATGCTGTAAACAAGTGGGCACCTAAGGTGGAGCATAGGATGTGTGCCAGGCATATCTATGCTAACTGGAGGAAGAAGTTCACTAACAAGAAGTATCAGAAGCTTTTTTGGAGATGTGCAAAGTCTACATGAACAAGCTAAGGGCAGAGACACCACATGGGGCTGATGCTATTTTGAGAACTGATCCTGAGCATTGGAGTAGAGCATGATTCAAAATTGGGTCATTCTATGATTCTGTGGACAATAACATGTGTGAGTGCTTCAACCACTAGATTCGAAAGCAAGGTTCCTTCCAATCATAAGTATGCTTGAAGGTATAAGGCGCCAAGTTATGGTAAGAATCCATGAGAATAGGAACAAGGCAGAAAGGTGGACAAGTCTCATATGTCCAAACACCTACAAGAAGCTGATGACATATGTCACAGCTAGTGGGTTCTGCCATGCTATCAGCAATGGCAACAATTGCTATGAAGTAACCTACTAGGATCACAAATTCACTGTGAATTTGGATGAGAGAACTTGCTCCTGTAGGTTCTGGCAGTTGTTTGGTTTGCCCTGCCCTCATGCTATTTCCTGCATCTACTATGCATCCAGGCCTTTAGAAGAATTCATAGCCAAGTGTTATTCAGTTGAGGAGTACAACAAGACATATGCACACTGCATGCAACCAGTGGAAGGCAAGGCCTTCTGGCCAGTATCAAATAGAGAAAAGCCATTGCCCCCCAGGTATGTAAGGATGCCTGAAAGACCAAAGAAGGAGAGGAAAAGGCAAGATGGGGAGATGAAGAAGCCACCTCAGGGTAAGCTATCCAAGAAAGGAACAACTATAAGGTGCAGAGTATGTAAAGGGATTGGACACAACAGGACAACTTGTAGCAGGAGGACAGGTTCTGGTAATGCAAGTGGTGGTGCTTCACAGTCTAGTAATGCAAGTGGTGGTGCTTCACAGTCTGTTAGAGGAGGTGATGGTGCTTCACAGTCTGGTAGAGGAGGCTCATCAAAAAGGAAGTCATGCCCTTCATCTACTGCTGCTAGTAGCAAAAGACACTACAATGTAAGTTTAACTGGTTATTCCATGTGGTCATCCTTAATAGTAATATACTTTCTTTGTCTTAGTTATATACTTCCTTTGTCTTGCATGATGGGCAAAAAGCTATGAAGTCATCAGCAAGAGTGAAGACAACGCTGAAGGAAGGGGCTCGGGCTAAGGTCACCCTAGAGGCCACTATACCAGGGATGTCTGGAAAGCACAGTAAAGCAAGCCTCCAAGTTTCAGGTGCTTCTACCTCCAAGGTTGTTGTGTCAGCTGCAGGACCAGCCAAGCAGATTTATCCAGAGGAAGGAAGACCAAGTGCAACTAATCACAAGGGAGCCACTCCTTCTACCTTACTACTGACAGGCCCAAATCCTTGAGCCCATGTGTGTGTCTGTGTCTTATCTATGGTTTGTATCTAGAACTATTGTAATGAACTTGGATCTGTCTTTTCTAAGCTATCTGGAACTATTGTAATGAACTACTGTAATGAACTTGGTTCTATCCTTCTACCTTACTTCATGAGTCTGTGTGTGTGCAATCTGAACTATTGTAATGAACTTGGATCTGTGTTAATCACTGAAAGGCATGTGTAATCACTGAATGACATGTGTTGTATGGATCACTGGTTACACATATAAAAGAATTCATACATGGTCCTGAGCATTTCACTGGTTACACATATAAAATTTGACAAAGCTCACTGGTTACACATATAAAAGGATTCATGCAACCACATTTCACTAAAACATTCGGAAATGAGCATTAATCTGATACTCATACATGGTCCTGAGCATTATGCTCATGCATTAAGCTGATACACAACCCATAATAGAACCTGAATAGGTTCTCAGTACCAACATAGATCCTACTAACTACAACTACAACTACACCAAGGCTAACACCACATTGACTTACATGATCCAAGCCATCCAGGAAGTAGCCACTAATCCTACACACACAAATAGAGCACCAAACAAGAACTTCCTCTCCTTCTCCAATATCCCTATCCTCACCTCTAACTCAACTCTAGATTCAGCTCCCAATTGCAATTCAGCTTGCATAATGGCCACATCTCTCCTGGCTGCAACAAACATGGCCCCTCTGTCTTCATTGTACCTGACAGCGCCTTCCAGCTTAAGCTGCAGTCTTTGATTCTCCCTTGTTGTGCCTTCCAGCTGAAGTTGCAGTCCTTAATTCTCTCTTGTTGCACCTTCCAAGAGTCTTGCAGTCTCCATTCTTGCATCTTCCAAACTCTGTTCAGCTACTCCAGTTGCACGCTTCCAGTACTTCACTGCATCTCGCAAATCAAGCAGAAGTTGCTTCTTGAAACTACTGTTTGGCGGATCCACCCAATTATAAAAGTCGCAACCACCATCCTATGAAACAAACCAATAACTAATAAATCAGAGACACTCAATCACTGATGCATCTACAGACTATGAATCACGAAGAGAACAACTTACACGAGCCCGTGCACACTTCAGATACCGTAATCCTGGGTTCAAATCACTCCAAGATATGAACCTAACAGGTTTTGCATCGCATTTGCATAGCACAGCTGGGGTATACTCCAATGGTCCTTCACGATAGGGGATGGGTGAGGACGAATCGCCATGGGAATCGCCATGGCGACGCCATCGCGACTCTTGGGTCCCCATACTTCGGCTGGACCCGCTTGAGGTCGCCATGGCGGCGGAGGACTCCCAGGCGGAGGGGAGACTACGGACGCGGAGGCACCGGAGGAGAGGATGCGGTGGCGGCGACGGCGGCGTCTAGGGTTCGGGGGATAGGAACTGAGAGGGAGAGACAGAGCTGAGCGGGCCGGCTCATGTTTTTTAACCCGCGCGGTGATCCTTCATGTCCGTCAACGCCAGCGTGGCTAGTCAAAACCGGGAACACGTCAGCGCAAACCACCTCAATCGCACTGAGGGGCTTAAACTGAACGGGTTTAAAAGTTTCGGTTCCCAGACCAGACGATTTTATACTTTGGGGTCAAAATTAAACCGACATGAGAGTTGAGGGGCCAAAAGTGGACTTAATCCTTATATTTAATACTCCGCGCATGTACAAAACATTCGATGGGATATTATATAAACTTTTGGAGAGGAACTAAACAAGACCAAAATATACAAATGGTATGACCTCTGACAAGCGTGTTACAGGTACAATGCGACACACGACAAGGCGAGGCACCACGCAACGCACGTCGCTCAAGATGCATGCATGCGTCATGCGTGCGTGCACACAACGTACAGTCAGGAACAACCACGAGCCCAACAGGAGCTAGGAGCGGCGAGGGATCGGAGACCGGCGACGTCGACGTCGGTCGCCTTGGATCTAGGCCGTGACATCGATGCCACCGTCGTCCTCCACCACCTCGGCCGCTTCCCCCGCCTGCTCCTCCTCAGCTCCGACGACGACCTCGCCGGCGGCACGCCGGAGCACGCGCTGGAGCACGGCGAGCAGCTGCTGCGGCGCGACGAGCTGCGGGAAGTGGCCGACGGAATCGATGACCACCACCTCCACCTCCGCCGCCTTCTCCATCCTGCGCCGCATGTACTCCGCCACGGCGGGGGGCGCCGCGAAGTCGGCCGCCACCTGGACGACGGTGCACGGCGCGGCCACGGCGTCCAGGGCCCCGCGCTGGTCGCCCAGGAAGATCATCCGGGCCACCTCCAGCGCCACGCCAGGGTGCATGGACAGGAAGCTCTGCTCCAGCGCCGAGGACGCGGACGGGTCGCCGCCGGCGGCGTTGGGGACGAAACCCTTCACCCAGGCGCCGAAGTCCGACGACATGGCGCCCAGCATGCCGTCGATGCTCGCCCTGTCGAAGCCGCCCACGTACCCCTCCGACGGCGAGTCCATGTACCTGATCGACGACAACAACATCACTGGCTAGAATTAATTAATTCATAAAATGTGTGGCTGATCCTTATTTTTTTGAACTGTAAAATGCTCATCCGGTCCAATGCATCGGTTGGGTGGTCAGATTTCACGTTATTGTCATGCACGTACGCTTTCAAGAGATTAATTTCCCTTTATTTTTCTTGTGTTTTATGTCTATATATACATCTGAAATGTTCATCCCAACCTATAGCTGTTTTTCTTTGAGTATGTCTTCTTAATTTATTAACCGCTTCTCTAATTAATGTGGTACATTCTAATCCTTGAGAATAGACGTGGAGCCTTCTTTTGTCGACCAAATACGAAGACAACTATAAATTTGACTTAGGATAACTCAAAACCTCCTATATTAAGCTAACAAACTGTCTAGAGGCAACAAAGCACTACTTTTTTTTATATATAGAGCATCCATCATCCCTAAGGCACAAATTTAATGCACAAATTTTGGTGTTGGAACTTTCTAGGATGCTCCAATGATATTTAGTGCCTATGTGGTATGGCTCGTCTCATAGACACTCTATCAGAGGTGCCGGAGCTAGAGAGAGAGAAGCCACAAATTATAGCTTCGACTCACACAAAAAATGGCTCCACCAGCTCCTCTTTCATGCACCCAAAAATTAAAATGGTTTCGCCTTCTGAGGTTGTTTGGTCTGGCTCCTTTGCCGAAGCTCTTGTCGGAGCCGGAGCCGGAGTCGTGCCAAACAAACCCTTAGCTTTCCTCGCCTCCTGCCTTCCTGTTTTACACTAGTTTTCTCCTATTCCCTCTATCCCCAAATAAATGGACATCTCACATTTTGATGAGTCAACCAATCTTAAGTGACCAAATATATATAAAAAAGAACTAATATTCGTGATACTAAATAAACATAATTAGATTAATCATGCCATATATTTTTATAGTGAACATATTTGATATACAAATATCAATATGGTTCTATAAATTTAGTTAAACTTGAAATTAGTGGACTTTTCAAGACGCGAGATGTGCACTTATTTTGGGATGAACATTTTTTCCCAAAGAAAACTACATGTGTGTATGCATGTACGGACTATGGAGGGAGTAATCTTTCTTTTCTTTTCTTTTTTGAAAATACAAGTGGACATATCTATAAGTATAAGAATAAGAATAAGAAAGAAAATGTATGTATTGGTTGCGTCAGTGAAGGCCACTAGTCCTTTGGTTTCTAGAGGCTTCTCAATCGCTGCGATGACCATGACTTGTGCATGGCCGACTGCCTGCCTATCTATATGCTGAGGTGGACAGACGTTGACAGGCCATAATGATAGGTTTGTACATAATTAAGGCCAAAAGGTTGGAATGACGGATACAAGGAAGAACCGAAATTGCAAGCCTGTTATAATCAGTTACAAATACGGTCGTAGCGATAAGATGACCAGGGCAGTCTCAATGATAAACTACATATAGTTTCTATATCTATTATTTTCTATAAACACTACATATAAAAACTATGGTTTCAATGGATAGTTTCTACAGAATAATTTTTTATCCAATCACATACATTCTCTCTTCATTTTGTACCAATCACATCCCTTCATGTCTTGGTTCTCGTGTAGACATGGTTTCTAATTTAGACCCGGTTTCTATAATTTTTGCTCTTTCTCTTCAATAACCACCTTGCCACATTATCAAAACGCTTAGGTGACAGTACAATTAATGTCCATAAAAACTATGATAGTTTCTGCATTGGGAGTGCCCTCATGGTGTTCGTCTATGCAGATGTTTATGATCCAGTATGGAAATCAGAGGTCACCGGCCGAGAGTTCCACTTCCTTGGTTAATTAAACACACTTTTGCTACCCATGTCAAGTCAAGCATCACACTATAACTTTTGCCATATAATAAAAAATCAAAGATTTTTTTTTTTAAAAAATAGATCATTTATATTATCCATCTTCTATCTACAAATATTTTCAGACTGTTCGTCGGAACAGCACCCCAGGCCCATGCATCCACACTCGCAGAAAGCTATTACAGGCAGGCAGGGAGCACGGCAAGAGCGGAAGAGATCGATGATGGCATGCATGCAGCAGGAGTAGCTAGCTCACCTGGGGGACGCGCAGAGGAGGACGAGGTGGGCGAAGAGGTCGGGCCTCCGGACGGAGGCGATGCAGGCGGCCATGGCGGACATGGAGTGGCCCACCACCACCGCGCCCCGCACCCCCTTGTCGTCCATGAGCGCGATTAGGTCGTCGGCGAACCTGCCGAACGTGTACCGCGCCGCCTCCGCCTCCTGTTCGTCAGCGCCGCCGCCGGTGAAGTCCCAGTCGAAGAGGATGACCCTGTGGTGCTGGGAGAGGGCCGGCAGGAGCTTGTCCCACAGCGTCTGGTTGGCGCCGTAGCCGTGCGCCAGCACCACCGTGGTGTCGCCGCCGCCGACCTCCTTCACGTTCGCGTACCACCGCATTGCTTGCCTAGTCGCCTTGCCGGGGAAAAGGACAGGAGACTACTGTGCTAGCTTTCGCGTGCGCCGCGGTCTCTCGCTCTGCCTACACACCGTACAGGGGTGTATACATATTTATCGGCCAATTTATTAGGAGCTATTAAAAAAAGATCGTAATCCCCTGTGAGTCATTGGAAAAGTTCAGCGGTTTTCAGCGTCACTGTTTTTTTTTTTTTTTTGCTCTCCATGCCACTATCGTTAGATTGGGCTCTAACGATGTTAAACTGCAAGTGTGAAAAGTCGAAAATATCCTTAAGTCTAAATATGTCATTAATTTTTTTGAATATCTTAACGATTTCAAATAAAAAAACAAAAAACTAGAAAGTTGTTGATCTCGTCGAGATCTATAATTTTATATAAAAATTATCTTCTTTTAATACCGTAAAAAATTATAATTTTTCTAAGATATATTAATCATATCAAATCATATCTTTTATTACGAATTAAATAAAGATAATTTTTATATAAAAATTATAGATCTCGACAATCAAAGTCCAAAGTCCATCCAATCCAATCCCAGTCAAAGTCCAAACGGCAGAGGCGAGTGGACCCAGGCCCGAGATTCCGTTGCAGTCCCCAGAAAAGTCCTGCACTGTCGTGTAGCACCAACGGCCAACGGTAGTAGGTGCCATGTCACACCAACCCGTCCGCTAGCTGCTTGCCTTTTTTATTTTTTCTCTGTAAATAATGTAATTGATTGATCCATTCGGAGTCATCATTCATCAACAACAGCTGATGGGCATCTTGACTTAACGATGACGCATAAATATATTGCATAGTTTAATTTGTGTGTCCGGCTGGCTGGCTGACTGGCCAGCCCATTCACGCGGGGACTGTGCACATGAACAGCGTCTTTCAGTCAAAACAATATTTTTCTCTGACAACAATCCAGCCGGAATAGTATTTTGGCTTATTAACCAGCCAGCAGAACACTCCCTTAACCATGTAAGGCCGCCAATAGCTTCAAATTAAGGTGGAAACGTATGTCACACCAATATATCTATGTACTCCCTCTGTATACAAAAGAATGCATTAAGGGATCTATGCCGGTCAAATTAGCTCAAGTTTAATCAAATTTATTATGAATAGTATTAGCATTTATGTCTTCAAATAAATTTATTATATGAAAACATACAGTATTATGCAACTAATCTAATGGTACTTATTTTGTATCATGAATGTTAGTACTTTTTTATATAAATTTAGTCAATGTTCAAACGATTTGACTCCTCGAAAAGCGAGAATTATATTTTTTGAGACGGAGGGCATACATTGTATTTTGCTATAGATTTCTACCAACAGATATGAACACCAGATCGACATTCATGACTGCTCTCCTGTCTCTTGTCTTGCTTCTTCTTGTATTCTTACTATACATGACTTTTGAGATATGTAATAGTCCATTGTTTCTAAAAATAATATAAAACAAATTGAGCCTAGCTCAACTATAGTCTATAGGTTACTCGTAGTGAAGTCTTCGACTTGTTGTGGGTTCTCGTATTTTATGTAGTCTTTCGGAGGTGTTCAATTAAATAGGGTGAGTTTTTGTGCATATATACAAACATCCACGTCGATCTGTACTGTGCTATATTTGGAAAATTTAAAAAGGGTTATGATACACACTTTAATTTGGCAAAACAAAAAAGGAAAAAAACAAAGATAAGATGGATTCAGATCGTGCATGCAGTTAAGGCCAGTAGTGGTCAACACAAGACATAACATAGGCTGCAACAAGCTAGGCTGGTCATGCAAAGGAGAGCCACAAAAACTGAAAATTTGATGGAACAAATAAATGCTAAGACTGAGACTGGGCACAATGCAACCAACATACGTACTCCTTACATTGTTTGAGTGATCTGATGCATTTTCAACAAAGTCCGGCCATCCGTATCTATCATGCACGTCACAGATACGTTGCCAAACCGTTGTCTGCCATAATATCGTTTATATCCATGCATCGAATGCCTCCAAAACTCAACTTTTCGATGCATTGTTTATTAATATATAATATACAAATAATTGGTGCCGGCCGGCCTTTTCAATTGTGGTCCATGTCGTCACGAGTGAGACATGCATGACTTGACTATACCACTAGCTCGTGACAGCCAGATTAATACAAGAAGAGTACGTGTAAATAACGAAACCAATAGAAAAAGAGGGCCTTTTGTTTGGGAAAAAAATGAACTTTTATTTTTTTGCGAAACCAAAAAAAAAAATTCAATGAATGTTACCCAGTTATGCAATCATGTGTAGTATATATCTGCCGGCCGGCCGACCCCAACCAGAGGTATATATGCACTTCGTCTGCCGAGAGCAGTTGCACCGATCGAATCGAAATATAAAATTTCATCGTCTGTTTAATTAATCTGCCCAGGTAACTACTAGTCCAATTCTTAGTTAGAAAAAAACTAGTAAGCTTTTTTTTCGCAAAGACAATCTAGTAATTAATATGCCCTTACGGGCAAAATTAGAAAAATCCCGTTAATAACTGTGCTGCAGTGATGTGTACCCAAGCTAGGTTTTAATTAAGAGCCCGGTTTGATTTAGACGGCATGAGCATCTGCATCCAATTAGAATATTAGATTTGGGCTAAGTGTAGTTGAATGTCCGGAAGTACTAGCGAGAACCGTATACAGGAGAGATGACGTTATTAACGTTGCTGTCAAGCAACTACTCTCTCCATCCAAGAAAAATGCAATTCTAACACTGTAATATATTTTAGTATTTAAGTTTAACTAATTATAGATAAAAAAAATTATTAATAGTTATGATATCAAATAAATATCATCATTACATTAGTAACGAAATGTATTTTATAATAAATTAATTTAGGACCATAAATCTAAATATTATTCTTAGGAAATTTAGTTAAACGTGAGCAGGCAACGTGTAGTTGCGCTTTTTCTTGGACGGAGGGAGTTCAACCTGTTGCAGCTATCCACTGCAGTTATTTGGCGGCGATGAGACTCCAGAAATTAAGAAACACCTTATCTCTGTCTTGTCGATGTCAATTATTCATCTGTGCTGGCTTTCCATGCTACCTCTATTTCACTGATCCATCATACTCCTATTTCATAGGCTTAAGATGTTTCTCACCCTAGCCAGGCACTGACCCCTTCCAAAAAAAAAAAAATCACTTTGTTTCTCGCTCCTTGTCCACACATTCGTTTTCTTCTTCGCAATCACTTCATCGTCTATCCTCATTCTCTCTAATCCCCGTCAGAGGAGAAAATGCCAGGCCTCTCGTTCTATCCGCTAGCTCCACCCAATCGGATGTCCCGGACCACCTCACCCGCCACCTCCTCCAACTGCCATCTAGGTCCGGAAGCCACTAAATCCCTCCCAAACCCCAAACCACGAAATCCTAGCTCTAACCCAAGCTCCTCCGACAAGAGGAGATGGTCATCATAGAAGAAGAGGAGGTTGTCTCGGTAGAGTCACTAGAATTGTTCTATCGGATTTTGATTTCCTACTTCTCTCTTCCGCCCGTAGGTAGAGATTGATAAGTTATGATTGAAAGTACTTTTGCCTTATTTTGTGCGAGAGAAAAATATCGTTCGTTGGCTGAAAACAAGCCCAAGTGAACAGTGTGTGTGACCTGCCGGTGCCCGTCGTGCGAGCACTCACCGATTCATGCGCGGAATCGTGCTCTCCCGTGCCGGGCCGCGACTGCGACTGCGAACGCCGTTGTTTGCCCTCGCATGCTTCTCGCTCGGTCCAGTGCGTTCCAACAAAAGCTTGTAGTCCAGACAGCAGCAAGGTGCCGGCTTGGCTCAGCTGCTCGACACTCGGTAGCACCGCGCGCGGCAGCCGGCACGGCGTGAACCGCCAGGTCACAGGGTGTTGCCGGAACGACGCGCCGACTCTGTTCCTTCGCGCCACATCGCAGCAGGATGAACGCGACTAACGCCTTGTTTAGTTCCATCCTAATTTCTAAAAAGTTCTTCTGATCGCGCCGTGCATGGAACATTAAATGTAGACGAAAAAAACTAATTGCAGCAGGAAATGCGAGACGAACGTTTTGAGCCGTCCATGTTTGAACACTATTTACCAAATAAAACGAAAGACCGGTTTCGCTATTTGGACTGCCGTCCAGGTCCACAGGCAGAGACATGTTGGAAATCTTAACAGTAATTTGTGAAGACCTCAAACTGCGCTTAGCGCTCAGACCTTATCAGCAGGGGAATGTTGATATTTTAGTTCCAGTATGTCAGTTAGATGCAAAAAAAAAACATGTTTTTATTCTTTTTGGTTTCTAAAGGAAAAAAGGCTGTACGGACATTTTCCTCCACTCTCACTTGTTGGTTCCTTCCCCTCTCAATTGATTTAGAGATGCCAATTTTGGTATATGCTTAATTCTGAACTAATCTTGTAAACAGCAATCTTGATCCATACCCGAGTACCGAGCGCGGTGCCAGTGCGCCACTGAGGGTGGTGGCTCTCCATTGCATCATGTAAACTTGGGCTTGGTTCAGCAGTGCGTTTATATTAGATTAGCAGTTCTTCTGAGTTTGCTTGTCTATGTCAGCCTCTAACTATATTAGGATTTATCTATTATTCTGCAGTGAGTGAAGTTCGATCAGTTGCTGGGCACCTGAGTTTCATGCATGTGAACGCTTTTATTTTCACAGGATGTGGAATTGATGGGCTAATTCACCTTGATACTTATGAGTTGATCTTTCCCAATTATGTAAGTCACAGAAGCAAATGTTTGGTGAATATGGCAACATATTGCGCTTTTTATCATTGATATTTTTCCCTGAAAATAACTGGATCTCCTCACTGTTTAGAGAAAAAAAATGTAGTTAATTTAGCCAAAAGAAAAAATAATCTGGATAGGCTGGGATTTTGCTAAAACAAATGTCACTCAACAAAATTTCAGTCTGTTTTGACTAGACGGTTTTCTCATATGTATGTTTTATTTTATTTTGTATAGTGAAATCAAATTGGAGGAGGCTGTTATT